CCGTACATGGAGCTGGGAGGGTGGTAGGACAAGTTTTGCAGTTGGATTTATTGGGAACCAATTTCCTCTGCTAAGGCTGTGATTCCTAAGTCCTGCTGGGAAATATTCAGATCGCTTGGCTGCAGGGAACGCTTCGAGATTGTTCGATCTGAATCCATGCAAACAGTCTCTCAGTCTCTGCTCTTTCAAGGTGTCCTGCTATTCTCCGGGTTTCAGAGAGTGCCGTGCATCTGAAAGGGAGAGACAGAGTTCCTTCTATTTTCAGCCTATTTGAGTGAATCACTTGTGGGCTCCCAAATCCCAAACTGTAAACGATGCATGGCTTTGCAACATAAAAAGTGTGACGAAGAACAGGAGAGGGAAGTTTGGATGGCACTTTCAACTCCAGGCCCAGGACAGCGGCCTAGGAACACGTTTGGATTGTCTGGAAGTGGCTCGGCTAATATGAGATCGCAGAAAAGCTTGGGTGGGAAAAGGCAAAACGTCGTTAATTTAATCTGAAGCCAGATAATGAAGCAAGATCCTGGTCACGAATCTTCTGCCTAATACTAGACTGAGTTACAAAATGGACTCAGTTATCTGTCTCCTCTCTAACTGACACCCAGAACCCTAGAGGTCTCCCTAATGTACTCTTTCGGGCGAATCATGGACAAATACTTGAGTTATTTAGGAGACAGCCTCCTAAGAGAGCTTCATAATAAAACAAAAATAATAAAACACTAAAAAGGAAACAGCAAATTAAAGTAAAATAAAAAATCTTGGGGGAGATACATACTCCAGCTGTTGTAGTGTCCACCAGTTAGGAATGCCTCAAGTTTACTGGCAGTGCTCTTATCGCCAAGGGCAACCTGGAATGGACGTAAGTACAAAATAAGGCCCGAGTCAAAGAATCACCTCAATAGTCCACTGCCTGCAGGATCTGTTAAAGCAAGACCCATGGAGGAGGTCCCATTATCCATTTCCAACTTCCCTCCCTCCCTCCCTCTACTGCCCTGGGTGTCCAAAGAGCAGGCGCATGGGTCTGAACTGCACCCATACCATGAAGAGTAGCCCCTTCACATTCGGAAGTAAGGGCTGCCACCTCACCCATCCCCCTACAGAAATGTGTCACATGGATGGCACCGGGAGTGGGAACCTATTCAGCCCATTGTTGTGTGGCACTGCCACATGCAACACCATCCAGGCCAAATTCCTGATGGTGCCGGAAACTCCGGATGGCAGGAATAGAATGCCATGTTGTGTCAGGAAGGTTGGTGACGCGAGGGAGTGGAGGAACATGGACAAGCTGGCAGGGAAGAAGGTTTCACGAGAGGGGTCTGAGGTCCCCCCAGGGAGGTTTATGGGACTTGGGGCAAGTATAAAATCCCGTCTGAGCTTTGCACTTGCCTGAGTCATCCCAACACCATGAGTGCCATTGGGATTGAACACCAGGGTTTTAAGGCTCTGGAAGACTTTTGCCATGAGCTGGACATCCAGACGCAAAACATGCAAGAGATGGTGTCATGCTGCCCATTCCTCAGCATGTTCCCAACTCTGGCCAGGCTGGAAGTCCATCAGCCACAGAAATCCATGTTGATGGAGCTGCAGACTCCAGATCAGCACCTCCCTGATAACAGTCCCTACTCCTGATGGAAGAAAGCTCTGGTGCAAAGTGACCAGTTTCCAAAATTTGGACAGATCCTGATTACAAAAAAAAACCGGCAACTGTCACAAAGCATACCAGACAGGTCCAAAAGCAGGAGTTCTGTGTCAAAACTGAGGCTGTACACCAGAGGCCTCTCCCTATATGAACTTAAGGTAGTTAATTAATTTACTTGGATGAGAGGTAATCTCATTTCCCTTTGACGTTCAATGGCTTTGCCATCCCAGAATCCCCCACTATCAACATCCTGGGGGATGACATTAACCAGAGACAGAATGGGCCAGGCATGTTACGTTCAAGGGGGCCTTAGATGATTACTTGGAGAAGAATAATAAGCACCGGCATGGGGAAAAAGCAGCAGATCGGCACTAGGTAATGATGCTCATTTAACGGGCTGGTGAAGTTTACAATGGGCCAAATGGCCTCCTTCTGTGCCATAACACTTCTGTGATTCTGTTAAACAAATACCATGGCTACAAGGGCAGGTGAAAGGCTGGAATGGAATTCTGTGGTGAGTCACTCACTACTCACAACCTGTCCATCATTGACAAGGCACAAGTCAGGAGTGTCATGGAATATCCCCCACTTGCCTGGATGGGTGCAACCCCAACAAGACTCAAGAAGCTTGACACCATCCAGGACAAAGCAGCCCGCTTGATTGGCACCATAATCACCATCCTGAAACACTCACTCCCTCCACCCCGGATACACAATGTCAGCACCCTGCACCATCTACACAGTCCCTCACCAAGTCTCCTTAGACAGCGCCTTCCAAACATGTGACCTTTTACCATCTAGAAAGATAAGGGCAGCAGACACATGGGAAAACCACCACATCCTACTTCCTTCCAAGGCGCTCACCATCTGACTTGGAAATATTTTGCCGTTCCTTCAAGTGTCAAAAATCCTGGAACCCTCTCTGGTTAACCACACTCTGGGCATATCTACACCCAGGACAACAGCAGTTTGAGAAGGGCAATTAGGGACGGGTAACAAATGCTAACCCAGTTGGTGATGCCCACATCTCATGAAAGAATAAAAAAACTCCTCCACGTGTGTCTCATAATGATTAAGAGCCCTTGAGGCTCAACTGGGCGTGGGATAGGGGAGGATGGGGGTTCAGGATAAGTCAGTAGTTTGGTGTGTGATGTGATGTGAGGCATTCTGGGTCCACACAAGGGAGACCCTCCCTTCCCTTGTGGGACCGAGGGAGTATTCATGATCCTTCTGGTCTCACACAGAAGGAAAAACTAAAACATGAGCAGATCAGAATTCCCCACAAGCCCAGTCTAGCTGGATTCCTACAACATACATTGGTGCCCAAAAGGCTGCTCCTGGTCATCTAAAGTTTTCATTGCTTCACTGTGACTGGTTTCTGTGCTGGAATTCACCCTGAATAAATGTGAATGGAATTCAATCTGGAGGCGATAGACTTGGGCAGGACAGATAAGGCAAGGGAATGCATGATGAACAGTAGCATCCTAGGAAGCAACAAGGGTCACAGCGTGCTTGATGTGTTTAGCAAACTAGTAGGACAGGTAGACAAAGTTGTTAAGAGGCATATGGTATACTTTCCTTTATCCTCTGAGGCATAGAGTGTAAGAGCAGGGGTTATGCTGGATCTGTATAAAATGTCAGCCGGGTCACAGCTAGAGTATTGTGTATAGTTCTGGAATCCACATGGTAGGAGGGATGTGATTGCACTGGAGTGGGTGCAGAGGAGATTTATCAGGATGTTGCCTGGGCTGGAGAGTTTTAGTAATGAGGAGAGATTGGACAGACTGGGGTTGTTTTCCTTAGAGCAGAGGGGACGTGATTGAGATGTATAAAATTTGGAGGGACATTGATAGGATAGACAGGGAGAAACTATTCCCCTTGATGGACAATGACCAGGGAACATAGATTTAAGATAAGGGGCAGAAAGTTTAGAGGAGATATGAAGATAACTTTTTCACACAGGCAGAATCACTGCCTGTAAGGCTGGTAGAGGCAGAAGCCCTCATAACATTTAAGATGTATTTAGATGTGCACACACAGGAATGGGCCAAGTGCTAAAAAAAAGGGATTAGAATGGTTTGGGGGTTGTTTTTGACTGGCACGAACATGATGGGCCGAAGAGTCTTTTTCTGTGATGTGGATCTCTTTGACTCTATGAAATCAACTGGTTCACCCACTGCCATTGGCAGACAGTTTTAACCCTTGCTGAGACAGGGGTCATGCACAGTGCACTTGCCAAACTGTGGACTTTGGAATCTCAAAGTGGCAGATAAAATGGACAAGTTCAAACAGCAGCTGGAATTCAATTTAGTGTAAGGAAGGAGGATTTTTTTTTTGTCTAATTTTGTTCTGGAGAAGAAAGACCAATCAAGCTATTAATGTTGGCAACAAAATTGCGGTCACATTGATGGATTTCAATTAATAATGTTTTCCCTTTTCCGTGTTTGGAAACATTCAGGGACCTTAATTGGAGGATAGATAGGTTTGAGGCCGTGGGAACCAAAAATATTAATTCTTGGCAACAATTCCTAACTGGTGACGGTAAACCCTTCAGGCTATGGCAGGTTGAACATTCGAGTGTTCCACACCCTTGAATGCCATGCTGTCCTGGATGTGCGTGTGTGTGTGTGCGTGTGAGGGTGGGTGTTCAGTGGTAACAAAAGTCATGAAGTTAAATGGAAAAGAAGCTCCTGCAATTACCTGCCTTGCTCTCTAGATGTCCTGAAATGCTGTACAATGAATGAAGCACCTTTTGCAGTCACTGTTACAAATGTGGGCAGTACAATCTACAAAAGAACTGTCAATGCTCACTGCTTATCGAGATACATGGGATAATGGACTGCTGAGATTAGTACTGAAGGGTTCAGGTACACGTGGCGCTGGGATCCATGTGCAAATCACCACTGTTCCAGGGGAGCAAATGGGAGAGATTTCAGGTCGGAAAATGCACAGTGATAGTCATTGAATCCCTGTAGTGGGGAAGCAGGCCATTTGGCCCATCAAATCCACATGAGCAGCACCCCACCCAGACCCAACCCCATCCCTGTAACCCTGCATTTCCCATGGCCAATCTACCTAACCTGCACATTTTTGGACTGTAGGAGGAAACCGGAGCAAACCCACACAGACTCAGGGAGAACGTGCAAACTCAGACAGTCACCCGAGGGTGGAATCGAACCCAGGTCCCTGGCACAGTGAGGCAGCAGAGCCTCCCAGTGCATTCAGAAGATTCCATTCGCGCGTACAGAGCTCAATCATGACTAAGGAAGATGCGCCAAATTCACAAAAAAGAGACAGCTTGGGTCTTCCACTTGTACTTTTCAGGAAGTAGCTGGGGATGATACTTTTTGGCAGACTTCAGTAGCAAGTATCTTTCCTGAAAGTTTTCAGCCATTTGCAAGAATCAGTTCTTAGTATCTGTCTGTCGAATCAAAGGAGGCTTTGGCGGGGACTTCCTCTGGAGTTTGCTTGGACTGATCTGGTTTATCAAGGCCAGAGTGCATGATGGGAATATAGATATCGTCCATGTTTGGCATCACGAAGACTTTCTGTAATTAAAACATTCACTGGATTAGGATTCCAAGAAACAGACTTTAATTCATGATCATTGCTTATTACCACTAAATCTACCTACGCAGGAGAAAATCTTTGGTTCTTCAGAGTCAGACTTTAAATAGTCCCCTTTCCTTCTGCAAGGGGGATGTGGAGGCTTTGGAGAGGATGCAGAAGAGGTTTACCAGGATGCTGCCTGGAGTAGACAGTATGAGCTATAAGGAGAGGCTAGAAAAACTCTGGTTGTTTTCTCAGGAGCGGCAGAGGCTGAGGAGAGACTTGATAGAACTCTATAAAATTCGACATGCATAGATAGTGTTGACAGTTAGAATCCTTTACCCAGAGCTGAAATGTCTAATACTAGGGGGCATGTATTTAAGGTGAGAGGGGGAAAGGTCAAAGGAGATATGAGGGGCAAGTTTTTTTACACAGAGAGTAGTAGGGGTGTGGAACGTGCTGCCAGGGGAGGTAATGGAGGCAGATACGTTAGGGGCTTTTAAGGGACTTTTAGATGAGCACGTGTATGTGCAAGGAATGGAAGGATATGGACCAAGGGCAGGCAGAAGGGATTAGTTTAATTTGGCCTCATGTTTGACACAACATCGTGGGCTGAAAGACCTGTTCCTGTGCTGGACTGTTCTATGTTTTAAGATGTAGCAGCACTTAAAATTGAATTGAATAGGTGACTGGATGAAGAAGGGATACAGTAACTCAGGAGTGGGCTGAGTAAACGTGATTAGGCCTAATTGATTTCCTGAATATTCAAAACTACAAGACAGGAAGAACAGGAAGTGAGGAACAATGGAGGGATAGCTCCACGACATTGATACAATGGAGAAAGATGGTCTTAGTTCTGGAGATCATAATGTAGCACCAGTTTGGGTAGAGATGAGAAATAGGTTAGTTGTGGAAATGACATATAACTCTCTTAACAGTAACCGTATTGCAGAACAGAGTATACAAAAAGAAACAAATGGGGTGCTGTGGGAAAGGTACAGCAGACACAGTGGATCATTTAAATCTATATTTAGATTGAACACATTATAAGGCCAAAAGTAACCTGGATGATAACTTAATGGAATATTTTTCAGGTCAGGTTCTGAGAACAGCATGTCCTAGAGTCAATCAGAGAGCTGGCTATACTAGATAAGGTAGTATGCAATGAGACAGGATTTATGGTCTCATAGTAAAAGTGTCCTTAGGTAACAGTGATCTACAATATAATTGAATTTTGCATTCAGTTTGAACAGAGTTAACCTAAAGACTAATATTTGGCTGACATTTAAGGAGATATTTCAGATGATTCAGAACATTCCAGTGAGAAAGAAGGACTGCAAAGGAAGATACATCATCCATGGCTAACTCAGGAAGTTAAAAATAGCACTAAGTTGAAAGGTAAAGCTTATAATTCTGCAAAGTGACAAACCAAAAGCCTAGACAATATGTAATCAACAGAAAAGAATGTATAAAAAAAGGAGAAATTAGAGTACAACAAACAACTAACTAAAAATAAGTAGTGAATGTTTCTTAAGATATTCTAAAAGGAAAAGAATAAAGAAAGTGGGGTTTGATCCTCTAGAAAGCAAATCTAGCAAAGTAATAATAGAAAATAAGGAAATGGCAGATGGATTGAACAGACATTTTGTGTCACTGAACCGAAGAGGATACAAATAACATCCCAGAAATGATTGTGATTTAAGTGTTGAGAGAGAGGGAGAATTTAAAATAACTAAATTCACCGGGGTAAGAGTGCTGAGAAAATTACTAGAACCAAAAGCTGACAAATCCCTAGGTCCTAATTGACTTTATCCAAGGGACTGCTGCAAAATAGATGCACTGGTTTTATTTTTCTAAACTTCTTTTGTTTATAAAAATGCCCCATTGGAGTTGGAAAATAGCACATCTGTTCAAGAAAGGAAACAAACACAAAGCAGGAAACCACAAGCCAGTTAGCTTAACAATTGACACAGAAATTTGCTGGAATATTTTGTTAGGGAAGATATAGTTGGGCACTTAGAAAATCTTAATGCAATCAGGCAGAATCAACATGGTTTAGTGAAAGGGAAAGTATGTTTGATTAACTTATTGGAGTCTCTTGAGGAAGTAACGAGCAAATAGATAAAGGGGAACCTGTAGATAGGATGTACTTAGATTTGCAGCAAGCCGCATTAAAGATTACTGTGCCAAAAAAGTACCGACTACATAATGTTTGGATAGAGAATTAAGTTCACTAACAGGGAACAGAAAGTAGGCATAAATGGGTCATTTTTGGGTTGGCAAGCTGTAATGAGTGGAGTGCCACAGGGATCAATGCTGAATCCTGAAATAGCTGCAGCTTTTATCGGTGACTCAGACAATGGGGCCAGAAGTATGGTTGCAAAATTAGCCGATGATGGCAAGAGGTAGGAAAGTAAATTGTGAAGATGGCATAAGGAGTCTGTAAAGGGATATGGTTAGGTTCAGTGAGTGGGCAAACTTTCGGCAGACAGTGTATAATCTAGAAAAACATGTGAACTTGTGCATTTTGGCAGGAAGAATAGAAAAACGGTTATCATTCAAATGGGGACTGAGGAACAGAAGGGCCTGGGTTTTCTGATACATGAATGATGTACTGTTAGTTTGCAGGTATGGCAAGTAATTTGAAAGACAGATGTCACTTATTAGAAGGAAACCGGAACAGAAAAGGAGGGACATTTTGCTACAAATGTGAGACTACGGAGAGTCATACAGCATGGAATTAGACCCTTTGGTCCAACCAGTCCATGCCGAACATAGTCCCAAACTTAACTAGTCCCACCTGCCTCATCTCGAGAACTGCGTGCAGTTTTGGTCTCCTGATTTGAGTAAGGATATAAATGTATAAGAAGCAGTTGAGAGGATGTCCCCTCAACTGGTAGCTCACATGGGGATGAAACTTGTGAGGAAAAGTTGGACAGGTGAGCCCTGCATCCATTGGAATTTAGCAGAATAAAGGATGATCTCATTGAGACATAGATTCTGAAGGATTGGACAGAATGGGTACTGAAAGGTTGATTTTCCTTTGTTGGCAACTCTGGGGCTAGGCGACACAGTTAAAGATAATCCCATTTTATGTGGAGATGAACAGAATTTTTTTCACTCAGATGGTTGAGAGTCTTTGGAAGTTTTTTATCCAGAGAATGCAGAGACAGCAGCATTGACTATTCTTAAGGCCAAAATAGATAGATAGGTGATGAACAAGTGAGTCAATGTGAAATAACTCCACAGATGCTGGTATCCTGTCACCAAGTCACCCTTTATTTACACATGCATACTACTTGGCATTGGTCTGGCTTCCACAGAGCCAGCTCTCACAGTGAACAGAACCCTTGACACTCCTGTTTATATCTGTCAGTCAGGGCTCCCTGATTGGTCTCCCAGGTTAACGGCCCCAACCAGGGAACTCATATTCTATGAGGTAATCCTGGCTGACCTCCTTCTAATCACTACAAATGGCTATTGGGGATATGAGGGAATGTAGGATGGAGGTTATAGTTAGATCAGCCACAAGGTGGATAGGCTCAAAGGGCCAAATGGCCTATTCCTGTTCCAAATTCATACGCTCACACGTCCTGGAGGGAAAACACCCCAAGCATGATTGGTTGCTCCACATGGTTTGCTTTCAATGTTGTAAGCTCTGTTCGAAGGGTCAGGTATGTGATGTGCACGTCCTGAAAAATCAACTCTGATTGGCGAGAAACTGTTTTTGCGTGGCCACAACATCTCCCCCACCAGCTCAATGTTTAACTGGTCAGTGTGCCGGCATAGGACAACAAAAACACATTCTGCAAAGTCGCTGTGAAGCTCTCCTCAAAGCATGGGCATTTCTGATTGGGAGGAGCTACTACCAATTGTTTAGAATGGTGCTGACCTAACCAGTGAGCTACATTGTCACAATGTCTTAATAATGAGGCAGAGAAGACAGAGAAGGAAAAGAGAAAGAAGCAAATCCTCCCTCCAAACCTCACCAGCACCATGTTCTCCAAGCTCTGCAGGTCAAGGCTTATCCTTTTCAGTCACATGAAGACTCATGGCAGAAACTCAAGACCCTGAGTAAACATCATCTTTCAATTTCGGAACATCAGTAACAACCGTCCCTGGAATCGGCATTATTTATCGAGCAATGCAAAGGTCAAAATCTTTATGTCATCACCAAAGGAGCAAAGATAAACGTTTAGAAGAATGTTTTTCTCAGAGGCAATTGTGTGGTCAGAAATTGCACAAACTGTACAGGTTTGATATCAATGTAAATGTAAATATGAAAAGGGGCAAATAATTTTAAGTTTGGAGAAAGGGTAGAGAGACAGAATGCAGTAGATGACTGTTTCTGAGAACAAGCATTGATGAGATGTGCTGAATGGTTACCTTCTGGCTGCAAGTTTACAATGATTATATAATCACAGAGGTCACTTTATTCTCAGACTCTTAAAATGTCTGTTAACAGACAGAAATGCCCTTTTGTTTGTTTCTTACCTGGAACTCGTGCTGCAATTTCTTCTCAATCCACTCAGTCACATGTGTGAAAGTGACTTCCCGCTCGCCCAACTTGGGCCGCACCTTAAATTCCAGTCGAGGTGGAGTCTGGAAGCTGTACCTGATGACATTAAAGCATACCACATAGTGTTGACAACCTTCTGTTCCACCAACTTACTCAATCCCTGTTTTAGAATGTAGTTCTACCAGTGGCATTAATATTAGGACTGGGGACTGCAAAATAAAAGATAGCTGGAAATGATGACATTGCAAACTAATAAACATTTATTGGCTAATTACACTATTTACAAAGGATAGTGAACCTGTTGCATTCTCCACCACAGAAAGCTGTGGAGGCCAGGTTGCTGAGTATATTCAAGAAGTAGAATTGATGTGGATTAATTACTCATCTCAATCCTTGTTTTTCGGGGTCTCATCGAGTTTTGCAGCCCATAACTCTTCTATACAATTTCTTGATGCCAATTAGCAAACAAATTTTAAAATGGGCAGTTTAGTCATCCCTGTACATTATGCACGACAGAACAAGTCTATGTATAAGAAGTGATTCACCTTCTCTTGAAATAGTCATGAGCCATGGATAAAACATCTTTTCGCTTTGGCTCTGTATCATACAAATGGAATAGGGTAAACTTTGGCATTTTCCCTGTTTTGTTTATCGGTGCTGATGATGTAAAGCTTCATTGCTGGAGGACTCGAGTTGTTGACCTTGGACTGGGGTCAGAGGTCAAAATACAAGACAGGATTCACACTGGCCTCTGTTTGGTGAACCTTTCATATTTGATCACGTCATCTACAGGGAGCAGAGAGCTGGTTCAGCTGGGACTTCTCAACAAGCCAAACCAAGCAGGCAGAAAAGGCTGGAAAGGAATTGTTTATCATTTGACCTTCTGAATCAAAAAGGGCACTGTGGATGTACTCTGATCGATAGGAGATTAAAAAAAAGGAAATTGTGGCTGGGCAAGGACATGGGACAGGAGATTCTGAGATAACAAGGTGTAGAGCTGGATGAACACAGCAGGCCAAGCAGCAACATAGGAGCAGGAAGGCTGACGTTTCGGGCCTAGACCCTTCATCCTGCTCCTACTATCTCTGGGACAGGAGATTGTTGGTTTATTCACGTGAACAGTAGTCCTCAATAATAAAATCAGGAAACAAAGTGTAATATGTGGAGGTGTTGGACAGGGGTGGACAAGGTCAGAAGTCACAGCTCATAGTCCAATGGGCTTATTTGAAATCACAAGCTTTCAAAACGCTGGAGACAGAGATTTGAATGTTAGACAGGACATTCACTGGCTTCTAGGCTTTCCTCTGTTTGATGAGACAATCAGTTTCAGTCATGCTATCTAGGAGAGGAGAGATGCGCCATATGATGCTAACAGCCCTGTACTACACAACTTTATTGTTTTGGCACCTGACAAGTTGCCTTGTTTCATCAGTTGCACATGAAAAGGATAGTGTGTAAAATTTTTACTTCATAGCTGAAAACAGCATCAAAAAGCTACTTGACTTGAAAAATAATTTGTTGAATGAGAAAATGCCATTCAGCCCACCTGGATCACACTGCTGTTTCTAATAAACAGGTTTGTTTATAAACAGCCTCCTGCATAGTCCTGGTACTTGTCTTTATTTGCCATTGAAAACAATTATAATTTACTCTATTAGGCATTGCATTGGTATGAAAAGTTCAACCAGTAGTCGAGTGATTCACTGATTGTTGCAAATTATTGTTTTGCTGAACAAAGAAACTGTTCTCCTTTACATTCAACATTGGAACAGTGTACAACAGGATGGGACATACCATATTCGATCGGTAGGGGGTGGTGGAATATTAACAGCCAGCACTCCTGCTAGTTCCTGAACCTCAACAGTCAGGAGAAGTGGAGTGTTTGACATCTCCTCTATTTTCTTCTTGATGAACTCATTCTCGGTGGCTTTTTGAAAGTATTTCGATTTGGCAATCTTATCCACAAAGCGAAGAATCTTTCTGCTGGTGCTGCTCCCTGCAGCAAACCTGGAAAGGACAAGGAAGTCTTGTTTCAAAAAGGTTTCATTTGGTTTGCTTAATCTCTCGTGAGTTGTTCATCACCCCCCATAATTTGCCGTTAATTCTCCTTCTGGTCCAGTCAGGTTGTGAACTACTCTCAACACTTCCCAGCAACTAATAACTAGTGGATAAGATGAACGGCATGGTGGCTCAGTGGTTAGCACAGCTACCTCACAGCGCCAGGGACTCAGGTTCGATTCCACCCTCGGGCAACTGTCTGTGTGGAATTTGCATATTCTCCCTGTGTCTGTGTGGGTTTCCTCCAGGTGCTCCAGTTTCCTCCCACAGTCCAAAGATGTGCAGGCTAGGTGGATTAGCCATGGGAAATGCAGGGTTATAGGGATTGGGTGGGATGCCATTTGAAGGGTCATTGTGGACTCAATGGTTCAAATGTCCTGCTTCCACACTGTAGGGATTCTTAGAGCATCAGAGATAGTGAGAACTGCTGATGCTGGAGTCAGAGTCAACACAGTGTGGAGCTGGAGGAACACAACAGGTCAGGCAGACTCGGTCCTGACCCAAAATATTGACTTTCCTGCTCCTCTGATGCTACCTGACCTGCTGTGTTCCTCCAGCTCCACATTGTAGGGATTCTAAGGGCATGTTGTCTCATTGCTATTGACTGTTAAATGAGAAAGCTTATGATATATAGCATATTATTCCTATTACCAAACTACTTCTATTCAATAACTTGGCGACAAGAAGGACTGCAGATGCTGGAAGCCAGAGTCTATAGGTGTGAAACTGGAAAAACACAGCAAGTCAGACAGTAGAAGAGAAGGAAAGTCAACAGGCTGAAATGTTGACTTTCCTGCTCCTCTGATGCTGTCTGACCTGCTGTGCTTTTCCAGCTCCACCCTATAGACTTCCCACTACTTCTATCCAATCACAGAATCAGAAGTCTCAGCTACTGTGGTGCCTGTACATCTGAGTACTCTCTGTAGTTAGGCCACAGATCAGCCATGATCTCATTGCATGGCAGAACCAGCTTTGAGGGGCTGAATGGCCTATCAAGAGGAGGCAGAGCTGAGTACAGTGCCCACCACTAAGGAGAACGTGCTAGGGAAGCTGAAAGGTCTGAAGGTGGACAATTCACTTGGACTGGAAGGACTACATCCCAGAGTTCTGAAGGAGATAGCTGAGGAGACTGTAGAAGTATTGGTGGTGATCTTTCAGGAATCACTGGAGTCAGGGAGGGTCCCAGAGGACTGGGAAGTGGCTCACATTAAAAACCTAAATTGCTGTCAAAAATCAGCAGGTCTGTAGGGAGCGAAACAGAGTTAACACTTCAAATCCAGTTGGGACCAGGAGGGTAGGAGGTCGAGGAGTGACCTTATTGAGGCCTATGGAATCATGAGGGTCACAGGTAAGGTGAATGATGAGAGTATTTTTCCTAGGGTGATGGAATTCAAAACTCGGGGGCATATTTTTAAGGTGAGATGAGAAAGATTTAAAAAAGACATGAAGGGCAACTTTTTTACACAGACAGTGGTTTGTGTGTGGAATGAACTGCCAGAGAAAGTGATGGATGCGGGCACAGTTACAGCGTTTAAAAGACATTTGGACAAGTACATAAATAGGAAAGGTTCGGAGGGACATGGGCCAAGCGCAGGCAGGTGGGACTAGTTTAGTTTTGGAACATGGTTGGCATGGACTGTTTGGACCAAAGGGTCTGTTTCCATGCTGTATGATATGATTCTACATCAGAACCAAAAACTGCAACTTGGAAAAAAAGGTATTTATGCTGAATTGAAGGGGGGGGAGCGGCGCGAAGGGGGCTGATGAACAGATAAGTGGAGATGGAGCCCAGACAGAGAAACAGAGATGTGAAAGGGGTAGGCATACAAGGGGATTATTGACAGTAATCTGGGACTGAAGAGAAGCTGAGTAAATGATAACGAGAGGTGAGATTAAGAGAGAATGCGTATGCTGTGTTGAAAGTCCATGGAGCTGGCTAAAAAACATGAAAGGATAGAATCAGACTCTAACATTATTGAACTTGATGTTGAGTCCTGGAGGCTGCGGCGTCCCCAAGTGGAAAAGAAGATGTTGTTCTTTGAGCTTGCTGGAAGACTGTGGCAGACCTGTGTCAGAGATGTTGGCTTGGGAACACAGGGCTGTGTTGAAGTGACAGGCAACTGGAAGCTTGGGGTCATTTTTACGGATTAAAGACTCTTATTTAAGAAGGGTGGGAGGTAGAAGATGGGAAATTTCAAGCCAGTTAGCCTGACCTTAGTCATTGGTAAGATTTTAGAATCCATTATTGAGGATGACATTATGAAGTTCTTTGTAGTACATGGAACTGCAACCATTCATATTATACATTAATGATCTGGACAAAGGAATTTAGGAGATTATTGCTAAGTTTGCAGTTGACACAAAGATAGATGGAGGGGCAGGTCATATTGAGGAAGCTGGGAGGCTCCTTGGACAGGCTAGGAGTGTGGGCAAAGAAGTGGCAGATAGAATATAAATGGGAAAGTACGCAGTTATGCACTTTGATAGGAAGAATAGAGGCATAGACTATTTTCTAAATGGGGAATGGCTTCGGTAATCTGAAGCAGAAGGGGAATTTGGAATCTTAGTTCGGGATTCTCTTATGGTTAATATGCAGGTTCAGGCAGGAAGGCAAATGCAAAGTTAGCATTCATTTCAAGAGGGCTAGAATACAAGAGCAGGAACGTACTGCTGAGGCTGTATAAGGCTCTGGTCAGATGGCATTTGGAATATTGTGAGCAGTTTTGGGCCCCGTATCTAAGGAAGGATATGCTGGCCTTGGAGGGGGTCCGGAGGTGGTTTACAAGAATGATCCTGGTGACGAAAGGCTGTCATGTGAAGAGGATTGAGGCCTCTTGATCTGTACTCAATGGAATTTAGAAGGATGAGGGGGAATCTGATTGAAACTTACAGAATACTGAGAGGCCTGGACAGAGTAGACATGGAGAAGATGTTTCCATTGGTAGGACCTGAGGGTATAGGCTCAGGGTGAAGGGATGATCCTTTAGAACTGAGATGAGGAGGCCTTTCTTCAACCAGATGGAGGTGAGTCTGTGGAACTCATTGCTGCAGAAGGTTGTAGAGGCCCAAGTCATTGAGTGTCATTAAGACAGAGATAGATGGGTTCTTGATTAGTAAGGGCATTGAGGGTTAAAGGGGAGAAGAAAGGAGAGTGGGTTGAGGAACACATGAGCCATGATTAAATGGCAGAGCAGACTCAATGCGTTGAATGGCCTGATTCTGCTTCTGTGTATTACGATCTTATGGCCCTGTTCATACATTCCTCTTACAGATATATTTCCCACTGGTGAAAACTGAGACAGATTAAAGTTAAGATTTGTAAGCCATAACAGTTGAGATATCTACAGGGGTGAGGCTGAAGCTATTCCCACAATCATCTGAACCACAAGAGTGCATTTCTTCTTAAATATGTTCTAAGGCATAAATGACATTCTTAAAATTTGAAATAATAAAGGCTCATGTAGTTAATGTAAGGCCTTTGTTATTTTATGGCTTCACAGACAAACTGTAACTAGATCAGTTCTTTCTCCCCTGCTGCCATATGACATTTAATGGTGATAGTGTCTGACTTCAGCATTTGGACATATAAATTGAACAGGAAAGGGGTTTGCAGTTTTCATGGCCATTCGTATTTTAGAATTGAGGCAATCTAGTGTTTTAAAGTTTTAAATTATGCCTGTTTTTTGAAAAACAAAGTCCAAAACAGTGACCTATGCTGTGTGAAGACCTCTGCAACACATTAGCAGGAGTCCTTCATGTAAAAATCTGCGAGATAGTGAATAAAATCCCCAATTACCCCTCTGCACCAGGTGGTCCAAGTTTCTCAACACCTTGTGGTTCTGCTGAAGGCACTTCCTCTTCATCTGAAGACCCAGCACTTGAAGATTCCTCATCACTGTCTGCCAGAACAAGTGCTCGGGGTTTGCGCCTGTTGGAGAGAATGGGCACTTCAACAAAAAAAAGCAAATTTCACATTGACAGCTATTAGGTCCAACACGTTATTGACTTGCTATACTTGCAGTCGCAATTTCTTCTCTCAATTCCCACTGGAAACATCACAGAATGCAAATTGATCTAAATCAGCACCAGGAAAACTGCCAGAGATTATGATGATCAGCTCTGACTGAGCCAGTTGTTCTCATTAAGTGATTCTCCAGAGCTTTCAGATGGCCTATATATGGCAATCGCAGTTTACTATTCTTTGCTGCACCTCAATGCTTAAGCAATTGAAGTTTTTTAAATCACAAAAGCATGAGAATTCTCTTGTTGTGTGGTTTTATGCCAACATCCAAGAGGCTGGTTTTAAGACAGATCAGTTCAGGACACAATAAGGTCAATAACGATTTTCAGTCATAGACTCTGTTTGTTGTACCTCATTACTAACTGCTAGTATACATGATAGTCCGAGATATACCAGCCTCTAATCTCACTGATACGTTATTGGAAGGCAATTCTCTATATGCGCTTCTCCCATTCAATTTTTCTCGCACCTTTCTAATTCCACCCCCATTGTGCTGTTTATGCCCAGTGGGGAACAGCTCTGTGTCATCGTCACACAATTGCTCCAGGGTCCCAAAGCACTTACACAACTAAGGCCAATGGTCAGAAGGTCTGAAATTCAAGAATGTGACAGTTTGCAAAGAACTACTACAGAAGACGCACGTGCAGAAATTCTTCTCTGATGTTGCTTTGCTGGGTGGCTCGGTGGCTCAGTGGTTAGCACTGCTGCCTCACAGTGCCAGGGTCCTGGGTTTGATTCCACCCTCAGGTGACTGTCTGTTTGGAGTTTGCACATTCTCCCTGTTTCTGTTTGGGTTTCCTCCAGGTGCTCCAGCTTCCTCCCATAGTTCAAAAATGTGCAGGTTAGGTGAATTGGCCATGCTAAATTGCCCACGATGTGCTTGCTAGATGGATTAGCCATGGGAAATGCAGGATTACAGGGATAGGGTAGGGTGTGTGGGGTGGGATACTCTTTGGCAAGTCAGCATGGACTGATAGGTTGAATGGCCTGCTTCCACACTAGCAGGATTCTCTGATTCTACTGGAGCCCTCACAGTGCAGTTCTCTCTTACTGGTCAGGGAGAACACATTGCTGGCCTTGCAAAAGAAATATAAGATGAAATCTTTAAAAAAATACATTACAGCTATTCGCAAAATAACAAGGACTTACTACAAATAGATTTAAGACCTGCCCACTCATTATTCAGTCTCCTCCATTGTCACAAAGTATGACTTTAGTCACTGTCTCAGATAGTTAATAGATCACTGATAAAGACGTGTCAATGATTTTTGATTGCATGTATCTCTAATTGATGAATGGCAATCATTAATATACAGCCTGGTGAAAACTCTAGGCTTGTGTCTGAAAGAATGAAGCAAAAAGTGTGTGGGTATAAATAGCTTCAGAGATAGTAGGAACTGCAGATGCTGGAAAATCTGAGATAACAAGGTGCAGGGCTGGATGAACACAGCA